TAAATACTTTATATATTATCTAGTAGTGAAGTAATATCTAGGAATCTATGTTAGGAAGGAATAGTTCATCCTTATTTTACTTTCTGTATTTTCAGATTATACAAAAAAAAACCCTATGAAACATGCATGCAAAAAAAGCACAAGGTCTTCAGATGTAGAACAGGAGCTATGGGAGTGGTGTTGGCAATGTTATGATATTGGAGAAGTGGCTTGAAGTTGTAATGAGAGAGGGAGATTCTAAGGCAATTTGGATTTTCCTACTTATTTTCAGCCAAGGTTTGGTAGCGTTGCTTCTTTAAACAAATAAGCAAACCCGGAATGTGAAAGAAAGTGGACCTGCAAAGTTTTCACTTGCACATTGTCCAAGGTGAGACTAGGCAGCCTCCTCCTGTTTCCTTGATTTGGTTGCCTTGGTAGGAAAACTGGTCTCTCATTAATAGCAGATAAGAATTGGTTGGAAGGAAAGGGAAGGCAGAAGATGAAAAATGAAGTTTTGAAGTGGGAGCCAGACTCTAATACATTTGAGGATTGCTTCAGTTTGTAAATTGGCTGAACTTTATAGGTGATGTCTTTCAAAACATGTTTATGCTAAGGGAATAATTTCTTCCTGTTTTTTCCATACTGTAACTGCATTCCCTCATTTCCACAACTGACAATGTTTGATCAGTTTTGTTACAAAAAACTTGAAATGGATGGTTATTTTCTTAGTATTCTGAAGAATGGATTTCTTTGTGTGTTTTCCTTTTAGCAATTAAAATTGCAAGAACAGTGTTCCCAGAATGACAGTTGTGCTATATGTGAAGATATCAAATGTAATAGGCATGGGTAAGTTAAAATATTTACAGATGTAACTATATTTTTGTATCTTGGGGAAGATGAATGGAATATTTCTGTTGTTGTTTCTATAGACCTGCATCACTGCTAGAAGATTATCGCCCTTGGTTGGGGCTGAAAGTTCCTTCTAAAGTTGATGCTTCCCTATCAGAGGTAATTATTTAGCATCACCAGTTATAGAAAACTCATGTTATCCTTTTTTTTCCCTTTTAAATCAGAATCCTTTTTATTGCAGCAGTATCAACTGCCGTTCTTCTAAAAATGATCAAATATAAATATTTCTGTCATATTTTCTAATACCTGAGATGAACATTTTTGTTGCATAGGTTCACACAGTTTTCACTATTTTTATAATTGCTACACTGGTAGGATAGCTATTTTTTTCTGGCTGCTGATCATGTAACTGCATTAGAAAACCCAAGCGCCATTACTCAAGTGTCTCAAAATCTGGGTACATGGAAGAATTTACCTAGCTGTACTCTTGGACCTATAACTCTGACCATAGATTCATGTAGCATTTGTAGTTATGTATGCTATTGAATGTGTCCTTCAGTTGCGTACAATGTCCATGATTACCTCTTTTATTATGAACAAGCAGCATGTATTATAAAGTGGGGAGGGAAAATTATTCTCTATCCATTGCTCTTGGATATGTGTTTATATATGCTAAGTATGATTGTTGGCTGTTTTATGGCATACACATCTTAATTATTTTGATTGTTTGCAGATGTTTGAGCTAGTTCTAGAAAACTTTGTTTATCCCTGGTACAGGTAAGATTCTTATATAATTTGCCTTTGAAGTTCCATCTGCTCTCCTAAGACAGTATTTTGTTATCTTACTTTCATGTTTATTTGGGCTGGTTAATAATGCATTCTTTTCCAAAGGCCAATTTATTCCATAAGCCAAATTATAAGGTATTGCTTGTGTAGTGATATTTAACTCTTTAAATGCTGATTTCAGTTTTATTTTCATGTGGCTATTTTTGTCTTTCTAGCTTGACTTTATTTGTTTATTTAAAGCATTTATATGGCTGTCCATTTTAATCAAATTCTGGACAGCTCACAACCCAAGGATAAAAACAGTATGTACAAACAATGAAATAAAAGCAGTAAAGCAAGCCACTCACAGAACACTACTAGCAGAACTCCAGCTGCACCACTTGAACTAACTTTTGATATGTGTGACTTAGACTAAAGACGGGAATTCCTTTGGAGGGTCCCTCTGAGTGTGGCTTTAGATGTTCAGCAGGATGTAAAATAATCGTTCTGAGGGCTGTGCTGGAATTCAGAATGGATTATTTCTGAGCTCAGGTGGGGTAGTTCTTGTCCAAATACTTCTCCACATGTTAGGTTCACAGCTAACACTTCTGGAGCCCAGTCTAGCCATCTTTTCTCTGAAGTGATGTCTTTCAATGGGCAAGAAGGTTTTGCCCAGTGAAATTAAAATGTGTGCTTTTCTACCTGCATTCTGAATGGGCCACATTGGTAGAAGATTGTACCATATATTTCTGATTACTTGAATATTCTTGCTTATTGTATTAAGGAAGATTTGAGTTGTTCCAGTGCAATTTACTGTCTGAATCATGGTAGATAAATAGGAAGCTCATCTACTTAGATTTACTGAAAGAGATTTTCACAAGGCAATTGGGATCCAATCCACTAAGTTAGTGAGTTTAACTACAGATGAAATCAGAATAAAAGTTAATTGTACCTTTAAGTCCCCTTGCAGATTTTAGTAGGAACATCAAATAAATTTAGACTGAATCCACTCCCAACAGGTTAAATTAAAGACAGTTCTTTTGGGAAACTTGCTCATTGATGTATCGTTTTAATTTCTGTACATAGAAATTTCCAAGTACACAGGAGGTTTTGAATAATAAAAATCTATATAATTTATTAAACAAAACGAGTGATTTTTTGTATTTTGAATTATTGAAGTATGCTTAGTGTGTATATGTTAATAGGATATCAGTGAGGTACCTTGTTTTATAGGCAATTGAGTTTAATTATTAATTCTATTAATATTTAACTTTTTGTCCTGATTCTGCCCTTTTTTGGGAGCATGGCTTCTGGTCAGTGCGTATTTAACCATGCATGTATACTCATGCAAATACAAGTATGTCAAAATATTGACATGTTTGGGGTGGAGATTCTTCGGGGTTGGTTTTGATGGGAGTTGGCAATCCTAGTTGACAAGATAGGATCTTGGGCAATGCAGAATTTTGTTTATGTATGCTTATAGCTTTTTTCCTGTCTAATGTTCCTTTTGGCATTTTGAGCTACATTAGATGTTTAACTTTTTATTCCAGCCCTCAGTGCATCTGATTTATAAATCACTTGTTACCTATAGATTTTCCTCAATTTCTAAAGAAAAGAACATTTGATAAAAAGAGAATGATCCTCTTAGCTCAGGGCCCTGAGCAGGGATAGTTTAAATTCCGAAACTCCCTGATAAGATTTGATAAGTGTTCCAGTTTTCATCCTGGACTGAATTATCCTTGAAAGAGGTTTTAGTCCAAATAAAACTTTCCTTTTTTGTCTGTTATAGCACTAGTAAAGATTTTGAGTGTTTATGGTAGTATTTTCTGTTTTGTAATTTCTGGAAGAGAAGAAAGGTTGCAAAAACTTCCCATATTAAGTTGCCCAGGATAATAGAAATTGTACAGGTAGTCCTCGACTTACAACCACAATAGGGTCCGGAAAATTTGTTGTCAAGTGGTGTGGTTGTTAAGTGAGGCATCACCTGACTGCACCTGATTTTATGACATTTTTTGCAACAGTCATTAAGTGAATCACCGCAGTTGTTAAGTGAATCACCCAGTTCCCCATTGATTTTGCTTGCTGGAAGCTAGCTGGGAAAGTTGCAAATAATAATCACATGGCCCTGGGATGCTGCAACTGTCGTAAATTCATGCCAGTTGCCAAGCACCTGAATTTTGATCACGTGACCATGGGGATGCTACAATAGTTGTAAGTGTGAGGACCAGTCATAAGTCACTTTTTTCAGCACCATTGTAACTTGTTTTTTTTTCCCAGTAAAGCTACCTTCCCATTCATGGATTAGGCACTGCAACATATAATCCACAGTTGGTGGTGCATTCTTGGCATGTATCTTATGGAATATCATGGGATGTGTGTTGAAAACTGCCATGATTGATGAGATGCTGCCATGTCTGCTCTCCCATGGTTTTCTCTGGAAGGAGGTAGTTCAAGAGCCATTTTCCTGTCCTCCCAAGTACACGTGCCTCTGAGCCTTGGCAGCCCAAGGATATGCAGAATTCGCAAGAAGAGAGCCCTAACTGACCCTCTGCCAAAAGTTGAGTAGCAAGCAACTCAGTAGCAAGAATTATATTATTCTGAACACATATATTATTTTTTTCCAAATTATGAATAGCATACTTCAATAAAGTGCTCAAGTGATTAGTATTAGTATTTACAATTATAGATCTTGGAATACCAAAGACTCTTGGTGATTTACAGATAAGATACATAGGAAACAATATACAGTTTAAAAATATACCCCAAAAAATGCACCAAGTCCCAAACTAATGAAAACCTAAAATAAAATTAATGTTATAGTTTAATAAAATAAAATTAACCAAATACAAGTGTAACCAAACTAAGATGGAGTTACATTTTTTTTTAATTTTGTAGAGATGTAACTGATGATGAATCATCTGTGGATGAACTGAGAGTAACATTACGATTTTTCGCATCTGTGTTAATTCGCAGAATTTACAAGGTGAGAACTACAATATTGGAATCAAAATCGTATTTAACTAATGGCTTTGAGATAGGTGTAGTAAAATATTTAGGACATTATCCCATTGTAAACTTAATTGTTTTATATTAATCTAATACTTGTGATGTTCTTCAAAAAATCTTGGGAATAGTAGTTTAGTAGAGTAGTGAAAACAATTTGTTGCAAAAACAATACATGGCTAGAAATTCTATGGAATGTAATTATATGTTGAATTTAGTGATGAGTTTTTATGAATTAGGAAGGGATGATTGTTCCTCTCTTCTGAAGGTTTTTATGAAGTTTGCAAAATAGGTCCAAGGTAATTCTAAATAATTTTCCAAGATCTTGACAGTGTGCTACAGGCTGTAGGAAATAAGAGAGCAAAGGAAAGTTTCCTCGCATAAGCAAAATCTACTCAGAAAACAAAATCTACCGTTGGATTCCACTCTGGCTTTTTAAAGTCTATTTCATAAGTGCAATAATACAGTCACCAGGAGTTGAACTTACTTGATGGCATGTAATTAACTTGAATGTTATTGTATAAGCAAATGTACTTCATAGTTACCTTTTTAGTTGTAATAGGACAAATAATTTCTCTTCCCACTTGTTCTTCAGGTGAATATTCCAACTGTTATAACAAAAAAAATGCTGAAGGCAGCAATGAAGCACATAGAAGTAATAGCTAAAGCTAGGCAGAAAGGTAACATTAAATGTTGCATACCTTTTATTTAGAAATAAATTGACCTTTCTGCTCCTATATTTGCTTTTATTTTTATTTTTTTAAGTACTGTCAGAAATGAATTTTCATATGAATTTTACTGAATCTCATTTTCCCTACAGTAAAAAATACAGAATATTTACAGCAAGCAGCTTTAGAAGAATATGGACCAGCACTCCACGTGGCTTTGAGAAGTAGAAGAGATGAACTCAATTATTTAAGAAAACTTACTGAACTTCTTTTTTCCTATATTCTGCTTCCAAAAGCAACAGACTGCGGGTATATTATACTTCATAATATATTATATTATGAAGCTCTAATATTCAACATGTTTACATTTCCTCCTTTTGCAAAATTGAAAAGCTAACGTAATGTCAGAAAGTCCTGCTGTAGGCAGATTACTCTTCCAGTCTTAATTTGTAACAGATAAATGAACTTTGAATAGTTGATTGAAGTTGATATTGCAGTGCTCATGAAAAACCATCAGTGTAGGGTATGAATTTGGTATTGTCAATGCTTGAATGTGATAAAGTTCCATCAGTGAAGAAAAATGTTCTATTATGTTCAACCATCAGGTGTGCCACCTCCATTGCGTGAAAGGCCACACCAGTATTGAAACAGCTTGTCAGGGCCTGCATTGCAAAAAGGGGTAGGGCAATATTTTTTTATAAAAATTAAACTTGAATAAAATAGCAGGTTGCAGACCCACAGGCTACATGAATACATTTAATTTGGCTCAAAACTCCTCAGATCCTTTGAATACTTATAGTTGGTCAGAAAATCCAGCTTTTGAGATGGTTTTAACTTTGGAATTGGTTTGAATACTTCTTTCATTGTATTTGCAAAACCAGGTATGAAAGTAAATGGATAGGACCTTGCCCTGCATGAATTCTGTGTTCATGTTACAGTTTTAATATTTCATCATGATTTATGTGAAAGACATATGTAAGGACTTGTGTCTCTGCAGCATTCTTCTTACAACATTCTGGAGGTAAGAGCAGTGTTTCTCAACCATGGCAACCTGAAGATGTGCGGACTTCAACTCCCAGAATTCTCCAGCCAGCATGCTGACTGGGGAATTCTGGGAGTCGAATTTCACACATCTTCAAGCTGCCAAGGTTGAGAAACACTGGGTAAGAGAGACTTTTAGTGGAGTTCTGCCTCTGAGAGAGAGAGGGAATTAGATAAGGAAGCCCACAACTTTTTGGCCAAGGCCTCTAGAAGGGCCCACCAATAAATTAACACGTCCAAATCCAATGGAGAATATGACGTGAAGACCATGACAACCACCACTGCTCTTCAAAGGCTTGCCTGCTCAGATTTTTGCCTCTGAGTCAAGAAATCAGTGCTAGAATCAAGGAATTTCTTTTTGAAGAGAATAGCTGCATCAGAAGTGAATGTATAAGTCAGAGATTTGGAATAAACATCCTGTTAACTCTCTGGGACAAATAGCAATATCTTTCTTAACACCACAAGTTCTGAGAGATCCTGAGTACAGAGGAGGTACTAATATGTAACTTGTCAGGAATGAAAGATTTTTGACTATGAAATTATGACACCACTTCAATTTGAGGACCACCTTCACTATTAGTTTATGAACAGGGCTTCTATTACCACAGGCTTGTGTGACCATGCTTTTATATAGAAGAAATACTCTACAGCATTGCTTTACAACTTTGGCAACGTTAAGATGTGTGAACCTCAACTCCCAGCATTCCCCAGCCGGCTGGGGAATGCTGGGAGTTGAAGTCCACACATCTTAACGTTGCTAAGGTTGAGAAACCCTGTTCTACAGAATAGCACAAAATGCCCTTACTTCTCCCCTCCAGATGTCAGCTCTGTCTCCTGCATTGTTCACTTTTCCTTCTCTAAAGTGCTTATAGAACCAGTTATACCCTCCAGGACAGATTCCAGCTTTTCTGAAAAAACACTGCCACTGCTTTAATAATTGCATTAACTTTAATGGGTGGACCCTGTAATAGTACGTTTAGAAGCAGAGAGAGATTCTCATTCTAACCAGCTGGACAATCCTCTGCTATCAATTAAGAAACAGCTTCCTCACAAGTTTGCCCTGGAGCCACGTGTCTCTGCCTTAAAAAGCTGGGAGATAAATAAAGGGGGAAATCTGGTTGGTGAGACTCCTGTAATTTTATCCTATCTTCTTTCAAGAAATCTTCATAAGGAAACTCTAGGGGAATCTTGTTTTCTGGGGAGATGGAAGTCCTTAAAAGCAGCAGCATCCTTTTCCTCACCAAGCAATAGTGTAAAAAAAGTTGGGCTGTCATGAATAGTGAACTGGTGTGCTCATGCATGATTTAGAGCACTTTCTCTGAATCATTTTTAAAGTTTGTATAGCCCACACCCTATGCTTTTAATTAGCTAACTTTGTTTGGAAGGTGCACAGGTATTGCAAAAGTTATTTCCAACTTGGCTGTTGCACTCAGGCATGTTCTGCTGAATAACTAACAGAGTAACAGCCTGGCCCAACTCTTTTAGCTTCAGAAGTGGTAGAGATTAGGTATTTGAACCATACAAGATTGTTTTTGGCAAAGCAGCGTTGACTTCTTTGGCTTTGTGATCACCTGAGCAAAGTAAAAAGCTTGCAGTTCTTTAAGGTGACAGTAAAAGAAAGCTAGTAACTTACTTATAATTTCAATTCTTCACATACGTTTTATGTGAATTCACACCACCCACCCTCACTCCAACTATTAACCTTTCGGTCCTGTGGCTTGCCTTGGCTGTCAAAGAAACAGCAGGAAATTACCATAACAATATCTAGATGTACATCACTTTGAGACAGAGCTCCCACCTCAAGTTTCTCTTAGCTGTACAGATAGTCCCCGGGTTAAGAATGCCTGGTTTACGGACGGCCCATGGTTAAGAATGGAGCTTACTGTAGCGAAATTCAGGTTAAATACAGAATGGTTCGAGTTCATTACATAATACTACTTACACAGTATTATGTGATAATACTGTTCCAGCTTACATACAAATTCATCTTAAGGACAGACCTTGGGAACAGAACTCGCTCTTAAACTGGGGACTACCTACAACATGTTCTGAAGGGTGTCCTGCACAGACACAAATAGTCATATGTGCAGCATCAGAGATGACCATCAAAAGAAACAAATGACAAGCCAGCAACTGGCGGATTTTGATTAGTACATGGAATGCCAGTCTATACCTTTCCGTGTATCTGGCTTCTGTATGTGTGTGCCAGGACAACAGATTAAATTAGAAGTTACTAGGTTATATGCAAGGATTACAAGCATCAGGAAGAAACAATCGAGTACTGGCAAGAAAAAGTGTTCCGTTCCACCCAAAGATGAGAATATCACTCTATAGTTTGTTTTCCTTCCCCATCATACATTGTTACATGAAAAGCTGAGGATGGATCATTGTCTTTCAGATTGCCATGAAGTTTAATGTAGGATACCATTAAAGCACTATATTTTTCTGATTCCTTCTGCCCAATGGCAGGGATCAAATGCACAGATACTTCAAACTGGCCCAGACCTACAGTAGGCTGCTGTCACAGTAAAGCCCCATGTGGCATAAAACCCTGTCATTTGCAAGGGCAGAATGAATAAAGTCCCCACTTTTAATAGTTACAGTATATTTCAGATGCATTTGCCAAGTATGGTCTGCTCAATTTTAGTGACAGGCATTGTTTTTGTTCTTTTTTGGGGGGGTTGTATTTATTGGTTTTGACTTCTCTTTCTTTTGTATGCCCCCAAAGTCACACTGAGTGAGGTGGCTATATAAAGGCTACCCCCCTCAAAAAAAAGGCCAGAGCAATTTAATGTGGAAAAATGTAAGAGATATTGTTTGTTTATATATTTATTTAATAGTGCATAAGTGATTCTTTACACCAGTTTAATTTGAATGCTAACTTCATGAAAGCCTGTGTAAAGATGAAGAAGGTACGACTGCATAAAATTGGCTTTTATTCTTCCCAGGCCATTCACCTTACTCATAAGAGAAATCCTATCGGGTTCTGTTTTCCTTCCCTCTATGGACTACTTAGCTGATCCGGTGAGTGCTGAGAGCTCCAGCTAGTAGTTTGTTAGCTTGTCTGGGCCACGGTGTGTGTGTGGTGGTTTACGAAACATGCAGTGAAGGAGAAAAGGGGCTCAAAGACAACCTAGGCTTTCATGAAGAGATAAAAGAATGCTAATAACCAGGTTGTCTCAGTTTATCTCCAATTGAATTATAGCTTGCACAGGTCAGGAATCTTAGCTAGGTACAATTTAGGGGGTGTTTGTGGAAGAATCTTGAAAACCTGAGGTGCAGTTTTCCCCTTTGCATCCCTGCCCTCAATCACTGCAGCTGGCAGTGTTGGGAAAGGAAAAGGGTTTGTGGAGTGGAGAGTCTTCCCTAGAATGGCAGTTCTCTTCCTCTTAATGTTGTCTTTCCCATTTTATAATAAAAGAGCAAACATTAGAGAAGAGTTGGGAGGGAGCTAAGGCTGGTCAGGGATTCTAGTTTGCCTGGTTCTAGGCCGACCATG